GTGAAAAAGCATTGCAAGAGCCTAAGTGGAATTAAAATCAAAAACTAATGTGAATGTAAACACTGACTTTGATATTAATATATGAAAAACGCAGTTAAGTACTAATCATCACGCCAGATCCATCATTTCTTTAATAATTAAAATTTTTTAATTCTTTTAACTTGTTCGGTGACAATTTCATTTTATTGAATGAAATTGTCGGAAAAATGAAATTGTCACCGAACAAGTTAAAAGAATTAAAAAATTTTAATTATTAAGGAAATGATGGATCTGGCGTGATGATAAGTACTTAACTGCGTTTTTCATCATGAAGATTGTTTACAAATTGCTAAGGGGAATAGAACATCATTAATAATGGAAAAGTGATGTGACTTTAAAAATTTATACAAAATCAGAAGGAGGGGATAAAATAAAAAGAAGGATGTCGTTTAATCAGAAACAGTTGGGAGAAAGAAATATAAGTGTACAAAGTCAGCGTTAACAAATGGCAAAATTTAACATAGCGAAAACCTATACCCAATCGCAACATATTTTGAAAAGATACAGATAATAAAAGTACCAGACAGCCGGAAATTAAAAACTTAATAAATTCAGATAGCTAACCGCATAGGCGTTTGCAATAAAATGTTTTTGACCAAGAATGAGATCGATAAAATATATTAAAATAAGTAGCCAAAGTTAGCGAAAGATTCCATTTGTAGTGGATGACACGTTAATATGGCGGTCTGATACTCTAAGCCTAAATCAATGGAACATCGGATTTCAAGCACTTAAAATTGGGAAAATTGGCCTCCCGGAGGCCGGAAAAGACTCATCAGGAATGCCTTGTGGGATTACATGTTGAATTTAATTAACTTCGGGGTGAAAAAATGGATATTTATTTCTTTTAGAAGATGTTTTTGAGGACTCCATATAGGAGTTGTTGTTTCGTTGGTGGGGATCTAGATCAGGTCATGCAAATCTTTATGGTTACCATTGGCCTATGGTATACTGCCATACAAATTTCTATGGTTGCCATAGGCAAATTGTGACGTGCCATACAAATCCTTATGGTTACCATTGGCCTATGGTACACTGCCATACAAATCTTTATGGTTTCCATTGGCCTAATGGTATACTGCCATACAAATTTCTATGGTTGACATAGGAGAATGGTGACGTGCCATATAAATGCCATACAGGTCTCTATGGTTACCATTGGCCTATGGTATCTTGTCATACAAATTTCTATGGTAGGCATAGGCTTATGGGGTTTTGCCATAGAAATCTCTATGGTAACCATAGGCGTATGGTACCTTGCCATACAAATTTCTATGGCAGCCATAGATTACCATAGGCCTCTCTATGGCAAATTTTCCTAAGGGAGATAATGAATTATTGTTTCAAAATAGTTGTTTCGGATATTTGATTTCAGGAAGCATTAGAATTTCGAGTAATGAAGCTAAAGATTTTAATCGCTGTTTTTTGTCAACTGAGGTTAATTCGCTAAGCAAGATATTGAATTCTTTTTGGGAAGTTGAAGATGTAAACGAAACAAAAACTCATTATTGCAACGAACTTTTTGAAAATTCGTTTTATCGAAAAACTAATGGGAAATATGTAGTTAAGATGCCATTTAAGAAGGATATTAGTGAAAACATACCGTTGGGAGATTCAAAACAAATTGCTGAAAAAAGACTTAATTAATTAGGGAAACGTTTGTCAAGTAATCCTGCAATGAAAGATGGCTGGCGCCATACAATCTCTCCAAACTGTAATTCAACACCAAACATATGTCACTGTGTGAAGACCATGCTTGAATTTTTATTTTTTGTCAAAAATGAGAAGAAGAAAAATTAAAATTAGGGGCTATCGAAATCTAAGAAATTAATACTGAAGAGATGTAAAATTGTATTACGGTCAAAAGAAATAGGGAGAAGTTCAACGTGGCTAAAAACAGCTACATGCTTTATCATACATGATGTACCATAGGCCATTTTTTGTTGTTATTATTCCCGCATGATTCTGTAAGGTTATGATTGTGTTTCCTCTAAGTTGAAATGGTTGTTTGTGCATCATTTTTTTCTCTTATTGTCAAGCACGCTCAAAATTCATATTAAGAAACAGCTTGTATACTTAACCTACGAAAAAAACTGTATCCCGAATTAGTTTATAATTTGAAAGGCTTGTGGTGCAATACAAACCAAGTTTTAAAAAGTTCTTTAGCGGTGAGAAAAAATCACCACGATTTCCATGTGACAATAAGATGTTCCTGCATGGTCGTGGAAATATCGAAAGCTTGTAACGGGAACCAATACTAGAAGCGGTGAGAAAAAATCACCACGATTTCCATGTGACAATAAGATGTTCCTGCATGCTCGTGGAAATATCGAAAACTTGTAACAGGAAACAATACTAGAAGCGGTGAGAAAAAATCACCATGATTTCCATGTGACAATAAGATGTTCCTGCATGCTCGTGGAAATATCGAAAACTTGTAACAGGGAACAATACTAGAAGCGGTGAGAAAAAATCACGATTTCCATGTGACAATAAGATGTTTCTGCATGCTCGTGGAAATATCAAAAACTTGTAACAGAAAACAATACTAGAAGCGGGAAGAAAAAAATCACCACGATTTCCATGTGACAATAAGATGTTTCTGCATGCTCGTGGAAATATCGAAAACTTGTAACAATACTAGAAGCGGTGAGAAAAAAATCACCACGATTTCCATGTAACAATAAGATGTTTCTGCATGCTCGTGGAAATATCGAAAACTTGTAACAGGAAACAATACTAGAAGCGGTGAGAAAAAATCACCACGATTTCCATGTGACAATAAAATGTTTCTGCATGCTCGTGGAAATATCGAAAACTTGTAACAGGAAACAATACTAGAAATGTAAACTTTTAATAAATTGTGCTTTATCGCAATATTGCCGATTAAGACAAATATGCGCACAAGTCTCGATAAATTTTTCCAGCACCTTACAAAATATTTCAAAATTAACCTACTTATAAGTACAGTCTGAACACGAAAATAAATAAATAAACAGATAATGGCCTGCATGCGTTTCCCTTGTATTCTACTCATTTTTACAATTTTTACATCGCGACGAGAAAAAAATTTGAAAGAAATATTGCATTTTTTGGGTAAATTTTATTCCGATTTAAAAAATAGTCAGATTAAGAAAGATATTTATAATTTTTATGACTTGTAACAAACATTTGAAGCCAAATAAAAAATCATGAGGCCTATTGAACCTAAGTGATTATCAGACTTTGCTTACCACAATACAGGGCAGTAAGGTAAGCCAGTTTCAAATAAGTGTAGCGGACACTTCAAAGATCCAGCTATCTATCCATTATTGTACAGAGAGGGGAGAAATAAATCTATTTTAATGATTAGATTTTTACGCTCTAATCTTTATGTTTCATGGTCAATGGTTGATTTTAAATGTGCTAATTAATTAGTACTATCTACGAAATTACACAACAAATAAATAAATAAAAAGAAACATTCTTTCTCTGATTAAACAAACCTTTTTTTTTTTGACGAATCTCCATTAACTCGCAAAATACGGTGTGTAGCCGCTAAATGGAAAATATGGACCCAGTATTGTTTAGTCAGGAGAGCAGACTGAAGTTTGGGATAATAGATGATATCCCTCTTTGTTTTCAATATTTTTTATCCGTCTTCTCTTTGTGACAAAGTGTAACATTTCACAATAACCTTTTGTCACGCTAAATTACATTAGCGAATAATACTAGTAGTTCAGAGACAAAGCACCGGGTTTTAGATCACATTTCATTTGTAAACTTAATATGTATTTTTATGACATATGCAAGAATAACTATGAAAATGACTTAACGTACTTATTTTGATGAAAACATTTAAAAACAAATTGTATAAAAATATTTTATTTCATGACTTTAAATGTTTTTATTTTAACAAAAATGTACCCTCTCCTCCCTTCTTGTCACAAACTGTCCCAATTTCACGGACCCCCTCCGCCCCTTCAAGCATTTGTAGTCGGCCCCTTATGTTAATTTCACATTTTGTGTGCATTGTATTATCTCTGAAACTTTCAAGAGAATTGAAAAACTTAGCTCGTTTATCCAAATAAATTTCCTTGTAAAATATATATATATATATATATATTTTAAATTAAACATGAATTGATATGTAAATAAATGCAATGAGAGAAAAAAATCTTAATTGGTATGAATTTATGTGTGACATTTTGATAAAAAAAGCAATTATAAGTATTTATTTAATGATAGATAAAATTTAAAAAAATTAATATTATGAAATACTTTTTTTGAAAGTTTTAATATTTATATAAATATTAAGTATATTAACTATATTTAAAATAAGAAAGAGCTGTTCTCTTGTTAATAGTGAATAAAGATTAATGATTTCTTAAATATTATCAAGCTAAAATAACTCTCATGCGAGGTTTTTCTTGACAGTTTTATTCATGGATAAAACCATCACGTCATACCTAAAAAAACTGCATTATTTTTCTTCTTCTTATTTTTAAAAGCTCGTTGCAGATAGTGTTTTATTTCAAATATTAAATACTAGTTTTCTTATAAAATTTTAATACGTATCTTTGGATAAACGAATTTTATAATAGTTTCAATTCATTACACTTATTACAAAGTGAAATCTGCAAAAATAAACTTAATTTAAAGAACTTCTCATTTGTCTTAACTATTGGGACCATATTTTCCAGATTGTGGATATTCCCTCACTCGTATTTTGATGGTTAAAAATACAAACCTCGACATAATGATATGTTTATTCAGATAAAATACATCTTTGCGTCTGATTTTCTTACTTAAAATATCGTCTGCACTATTTAATTAGCATACACTTTGTCCGGGGAAATCCGATCATTATTACAGAAGTCATTCAGCGTGATATCCTTTCTTGCGCATAATGAAATTATTCAAATCCATTTTTTAGATATCAAAGATTTCTTTATATTATTATCTTTCTTTTTATTTCATAGCTCCGACACTTCCAGCTGATAATGGACAACCTATATCAAATAATGGTGGAGGTAGACCTGTCACTTATACACCACCTGTAAGTACTGCACACTCAATTTATTTCATTAACCTTTTGTGGTTGATTTAGGATTATGTCATGCTGGTCAGAATTAATTTTGCTTTTTGAACAAATATAATTTGCTTGTAAGCGATGAAAAAAATTATTCTTTTTTAAAAAGGAAAAATGCTGTTTCACCTAGACACAATTTGTAAAATATCATTTCGAATTCGATATGTTTTTCAAAGTCTACCTAAATGATTCAAAAGTATAAGATAAGTTCACTTTAAAAAAGTATGGCCAAAACTACCTGAATATGGTAAAATTTACCGTGTTTATGGCTCTATGGGAAAATCAGCGCTTTGTTAATGGCTTTTGCTAAAATTAAGAATAAAATATGATATTATTACCATGCTGTTTAATAGAAAAAGTGGTAAAATTTGGTTATTTTTTCCTGACACCTTGAGCATGACATAAAAACCATTACTCGGTTAATCATCATTCGATAATTCCACTTTTTTATCGTTAGCGTAATGCTAAGAAGTTGAATTATAGTTTTATATAAGATCTTGCTTAGCTATGCCATGTTAAATAAAGTCTTATCCAGATCCGTAAAATACAGGCCTTACTAATCTCCAAGCATCGTTCCACTTTTTTTTTAATCGTTAGCGTAATGCTAAGAAGTTAAATTAGAGTTTTGTGTTTTCTTTTTTTTCTTTCTTTTTTTTTTAATTACGTCAATCATTTGCTCTCTCGAGCATGAGAAGTTTTGCAGTCCAATATAACAAAGAAATATCTCCAGGGCCGGAGAGCGTCTTGAAACTAGAAGAATTACGGGCCTCCTGGAGGGCAGAGCAGTTCCATAGATGCCCGCCATTCATATGGCCCCTATTTGTACATAGAGTACAGTTAGGAGAGCCTGAAAGACCGACACGGTGCAAGTGCGCATGTAAGTAATCGTGCCCCTTCACACCGATAGCTCTAGGGAGATTTTTCGGAAGACAGGATGCCAGAAGGCTCTTCCAAGGTTTACCAGAAACTTGCTCTCTGTTGGAAGAAACCCGGAGACTTCGAAGCTTTAGTTTCACAATTTGTTTAACATTTCTCAAATTTGTGGGCGACACAGGGGCTCCAATAGAGATGCCTCTATGGCAAGGTTATCAGCCTTTTCATTACCCCAGAAGCCACAATGGCTGGGGATCCATTGGAGAGTTATCTCCTTTCCACCAGGCAGAAGAGCATTAATAATGTTTTTACAATTGAATTCAGGGCTGTAGGGAGTAGAACATATTTTGAAACCGTGTGAATTGCTGTCTGGCAGTCGATGAGGGGGACAAATCTATTTTCAGGTCTTTCTAATATCTTTGGAGAGCCAGGTATATTGCGAACATATCTCCATCGCAATTGTCAGAGCTTGAACTGAGTGGCTTTTTGAGTTGGAAAAATCTGGAGGAAACACCTGAGCCTGCTCGTCCAGAAGCTCTCTCAGCAGAGCCATCGGTGGAGCCACTCATCGCTGGGGTATCTCTCGTTGATGGTGGCAATGGCATCAGCATTAAGTTCTGCTTGAGAGTTTTGTATAAAACCTTGCTTAACTATGCCTTGTTAAATAAAGTCTTATCCGGATCCGTAAAACCCAGGCCTTATTAATCTCCACGCATCGTTCTGCTTTTTTTTTATCGTTAGCGTAATGCTAAGAAGTTGAATTAGAGTTTTGTATAAGACCTTTCTTAACTATGCCATGTTAAATAAAGTCTTATCCAGATCCGTAAAATGCAGGCTCCACGTATCGTTCCGCTTTTTTATCGTTAGTTTTAGTTTAGTACCATTTAAATTCGTTGCAATGAACGTTGTTTAAAACTTTTATAGTATGTAAAATGCAATTATTTTTTTAAAAAATGTATAATTTTTGAACCAATATGTTTCATCAATTCGCAATTCATAGGTGCAATAAGTATTTGTTTCTCAATGTAATACATGTAAATAAAATGGTCTAAATTTTTAATGTTCCTATTGACTAGACACATTCCTATTGACTGGAAAAATACATAGTATGAATTTTAATTATCAAAAATCGTAATTCTTTTGATCTTTATCAGCATAAAATTAACCAAAATTGTATAGGTATTTTTTACCTACATTTTATTTATTTATTTATTGCTTCAAGATCACTCACTTGTAATATTTATTTATCATCCTTTCTGAATATTCTTGACTATTATTAAAATTTGATTATTATTGTTATACCAAATTAAGGGCTTAAAACTAAAAGTGGTATTCCATATTTTTATGGTAATCCAGAAATATTACCTAATTACGTAAAATTTTATGAAAAACAGATTAAACAGGGCTTGTACCTTAATCGTTTTGCAATTATTAAACAGTAAACATGTTATATTTACTTATATAATCAGCTTGATATAAAACTGTTTCCAGTTAAAATATACAATTAAAGTAATAAGCACAAAGCTGTTAGTTGGAATTGAAAAAGTATGGCAAAAAAGTATTACCTTTATCTAAAAAGTATTAACTTTACGTTATATTACTAAACAATCAGTTTGGTGAAAAACATTTAACTGATTTTTTGGTAACCAAAAGTTGAATAAGAATTTAAAAAACGAAATTGTATATTAAGTTGCAATTGTAAAATGATTAAATTTAAATTGTATCCTAATAGACTTTGGAACTAAATCTGTTTTAAGACAATATAAATTTTGGTATCTTTAAATCGAGTAATTTTAATTTTTTTGTGTAACACTCTTTCTCGTTAAGCAATAAAAAGAATAGAGTAGCAATCTAAATCTTACTAAAATATTGCAACAAAGCTATTGCAATTACATTGCAACTAAGCAAGTGATATATAGTTACCACTTAAAGTTCGCCCTTTCACAATTTTTTCCTTTAAAAAAAGAGGTTAACTCTATTTCTACAATTAATTCTACTCACATCAAAAAAGAAATTATCTAAAATCCGAAAATTCATTTAAAAACTTAATTCAATTCGAAAAAATTAAAGACTAATTTGTTTTATTAATGTTGTTCCATGAATTATGTCTTAAAAATTCAATAATCTTTTCAAGACTTGCAAGATGTCCCATTAAAAATGATATTTCTTCATAAATGATAAAAAATAAATAGTAAATATGATTTAAATCACTACAATCTACCTCCATATTCTAAAAATACAAAATTGATCTGCCATCAGAATTTGAGCTCTTGTAAGGGAATTTTGGTTAATAGAAACCTTGATCATTACATGTAAATTTTAAAATATTTATCAGGTTTCACAAGCATCTATGTGTTCTTCATAATGCCAGATCTCTGTGTTTGTTAATACTTTTTTGACTGACAACTAGACACAGAAATTGTGTCATGTTACCGGTTATTATTTTGTAATTGAATATGGAAGTAAAGCAGAACATTCTAAACATTGATTTCATGCCCAAGCGTTGTTGACAGATAACGAGTTAACTCGACATTGCAAGTGCAAAGGCGAATTAACTCGTTATCAGTCTGCAGTGTTTGGGCATGAAAAGACGAGTTAACTTGACACCGGTCAACAATGTGTTAAAGATACAATAGGTTGTTCCGAAAACAAATTGAATGCATTTCAATTTATGTATCAAGTTAATTTACTTAAACTACATAATATGTTAATCATTATCAGGTTAATTTAGCTTTAATTGAACGAAAGTTTTTTATTTAAAAACAATAACAATTATTTTGCTTTTGAAATAAAAGTAATTTATCTAGTACAGTAAATTTTGAAAAGAGGTTTTTTTTTAAGTGGATCCTCCTAAAAAATCCTGGATAGGATTTTTGGGTTAGGAGATTCAGGATTTCCCCGTCTTCAGGAACTTTACCTTCTAATATGATGGTTTCTGGAATCTGTAAAACATGGACTCCTTAATGTTAATTTAATTTTTCGCATAATTTACCAATCTTTGGAACAGTTTAAGCGAATTGAAAAAATAACATACAAATATATAACTTGTTTTCAAGCCATAAATAGTTTTTAATCATTAATTATTTTTTTTATGTAATTTAATAATGTACGAAAAAGTTATGTAAAATACAAAAAATTTTACATCATTTTAAACGGTGTAATAATTAATGATAATTATCCACAATTTGTTAGGAATTGGCAAAATAGCTCTCGAGAAATGAAAATTTAGCAATAACACTTTTTCATAATTATAATACTCAGTAGACCTGAAAATTTAAATATTCAGTTAGTAGCCAGTGGCCGATAGACCCTTATAACTTAGTGGCCACTTTTCCTCTGGCCTAATGAGTCGGTGACTGATATCGATGGTTCTTTTCATTAATTAGCCACTTTTTGCAAACTTTTTTTATTCTTCGATTTAATTAAAATTTTTAAAAGAAAAATCATATTAGAAATAATTTGCGGCTATAAAAAGTTAATTCAACAATAAAAATAATATAAATATATGACGAAATTTAGTTAAACATACTAACTTTAAGGAACTTTAAAAATATTTAAGGAGCTAAAATACATTTAATGTATATGTATGTGAATGACGGAAATTGATTTCAACCGGTGAATGTTAACAATCAAATAGTCGTTTTAGTAAATGTCGGTACTATATACTATAGATGCCACTGCCCAGAAAAAATTTCCCAGTATACTCTACACTGATGTTTTTTTAAGGTTCAGTACCACTGCCCGGTATGCCCTACATCAATGCTTTCTTAAGGTATGCATTTAACTCCGAACACTCATGTTTCTCCTAATCTATTTTCAAAAGATGTTCAACGAATAAATTGTGTTTTCTAGTGATGTGTGATTGTTGACATTCATCGGAGAAAGTCGACATTCTCTTGATTTCGGTCATTCACGGTAACATTCAAAATGTGAACCACAAATTGATGGATTCTGAAGTTTGAATCTAGACAGCTTAATGTAAATTGTGTTTTCTAGAGACTGCATTCATGTACTTTTATCATTCGACTAAAAAATCAACAAATAAATAAATCGATGGAAAAAGTGTTTGTTTAATTTAAGACTTTTTTTCGTTC